TCTTGGGATACAAAGTAATCAAGACACTTTGCATCTTCATCATCTCCCATGTATCCCATCGCTTGTTTTAATATAAGTAGGTTGGTAATTTTGATCATATGTGGGGTTTTCTCAACAAATACTTTTTTAAATTCATAGATAAATAAGACAATACAATTGATGTCATGAAACTATTACACTAAAGAGGGAAAAGACACATTCAGAACCACACACACGTAAGTAAATAAACCAATCCAGATAAATACAAATTATGACAGATTCTATGACAAGAAATAAGTTGCTGAGGAACTTGAATGAGAAAATGGATAGAATAATTTTAAGTACCATGGTTTTTGAAGTGGTCACCTCTCAGAAGGTGATATTTGAACTGACCTGAATCATAAGTCAGCCATGAAAAATGCAGAGAAGAAGGAAATTCCACATAGGAAGGGCTTAGTTTTTCTGAAGCAGACAAGAGAATGGGATTGCTGAAGCTTAGTGAGCAAGAATAGACAGCTTTTTTTTCCTTTAAATTATAGTTGTATTAGTTTCCTGTGTACATCAGAGTGATTCAGATTTTTTTGAGGAGGTTAAGAATAGACATCTTTTAGCATTTAATTAGAGCACTAACAAAGTAGACACTCATTGCTTCTGGGTGTAATCCTTCTGCAGATCATCTTCAGTGGATGGTAGCAATGACCTGTATGTTGACCATATACACAATTCCATCTAGACTTATTTCTATATCTATCTGTATATACTGAAAACCACAAGTGCACACTATAAATTCCAGTCTAGACCCATAGGATCCATTCAAGGTCTCCCACCTTTCATTTGTGCCTTCCTTCCCTGCCAGTGCGAGCCTGGCTCCCACTGTCTTCAGCATGTTGATTTGCTGGCTCCATCAGTCTCTGTTGCAGTCAGCCTCCTGGCCATGGCAGGTGGGCGTGTGTTTGGCTGGCTGCAGACGTTAGCTACCACTGGGCTCACTCCTGGCTCACTCTGACACTCTGCTTGTTTGGCCCCAACCTCCACCAGTGTGAATTATTTAGGAAGGCTTTGTACACAGTAGAGATTAGTAGAAATTTTGCACAATATTCCAAGATTATAGTGAAAGGGCACTAAATGGTTTTGAGCATCTTTACAGCATTTCACTAGCCTTTCTCAACCTCCTAAACGTCCCTATTTTAAAATAAGTATAAATAGAGACATCTTGTGTTGTGGGTACTTTCAGACATGCAAAATACTCAACCTTGTTGCCTATTGTTTGCTTTTTTGTTCCATCAAGTTAATGTTATAATTTACTACTTAAATTGGCATTTTAATGTCAAAACAAGTAACAGCCTATTTTTCACTAATGTATATCTGAGTTAAAATTTTAAAACTGTGAAAATGCACGTTTGTTTTGTCAATGAGAATAGCAAAATGTTGGGCCTCAAATCAGGTATAAAGTTTTCATATGCTAAGTCTTAAAATGGAAATTTCAAACATACCAGTAAGGTAACGTAATTGCCCAGTTCACTGATAGATGCAATTGAGGATAACATGGTTAAAATTCACTATGGGTGTTACAGTATACTGTCAGATCATAGAACCCAGTAACGACAACCAATATATGAACATTACATTTTTTATTTCAAATCCATAGATGTAGCAAATTTAAGCTCTAAGCTGAAACATAAAAGAGTTTACTTTTTTACTGTATATAATTTTTATAATAACTTAGCAAATTTTAATTGAGCTTGACCCTCTATACATTTTATATCTATTCATTTCTGACCCTCAGTATCCCAGATGCAATTTTTTTTTCTCCAAATAACCCTGCTGTTAATCTACTATGTTAAATCCTGAACTTTAGGGTAGGGTAGTCATTGAAAGAATCACAAACAGTATTGCATTAGGAGTTTTTACTGAAATTATATTTGACATAAAGGGAACAAATACAGAAAATAAATAATATGCTGTCCTTCATTTCAAGGAGGGGGGAGTGGGTTAGAATATCAGGAATTTCCAGTATCAGAGACAGCATCTTTAACCCATTGCCAACTATAAGGGGGTGGCCCATATTCTACTAGTACAGTTCTCTTTAAAACTTATAGGATACCTATAAGTGTAATTAAGCTTTACTCCATTAAACAAAAGCCTTATCCACACTTTCATAAAGATAAGTGTTTTTTGTTTGTTTGTTTTGGTTTTTTTTACATTGGGCTTCTGCTGATATGCTGAGGGGAAAATGTCCTTAAGATTATTTTTAGAATCTTCATTGTTTAAATCAGGGGCTCTATAAGACACACCACTAAGCTAGCTACCTAGAGGTTCTTTTGTCTGAATGAATGGTTCTTGGAAGCATTGTCTAATATATTTTGGAGGTCTTAATATGGATTTTATAGTCACACCTCATTATTATCTTTAGATCATGTTTTCCTGGTAGTTGAAATTTGCCTTGAAGAGATTTCTTAATTTTTGCATTGTTCAACACCTGGAGAGACTGAAATTTAAGAAAATATTTTATTTTCAAATCCATTAAGACCTGGCTTCCTCATATTTAACAGATTTTCTCTCTTCTTTTCCCCTTTTACTATAAACAGAAAGAAGGTGCCAGAATACTATGCACAGAAATATCCTCAGCTAGATTATAAAGCTCATTAAGTGCAGTGTTTTCCTTTCAATATTATCACAGTGCTGCTGAACTTTCCACTGCAACATAGTAAGGATTCAGTTTTCTTCCATTTCTGATAACACTGTTTCCTCGCCTTTCTTTCACCCATTACTGATAACCTCTTCAAGAGCCATAAGTCTTCATGGCTATAATTTAATGGACACGTAGAAGTTTGTACTATAAGTATTTTCTCCTAGAATGTATCTCATGTAGGAAAATGAAAGAACTTAATAACTTCAAACTCCAAAATTCACCAGGAGTAAACAACATTGTTATGAGTAACTGGTGAAGTCTTGTTTTATGAACTTAAATATACCCAGTCCATAGTAATCTTGTGTGTTACACAGCTGCCTTGCTTCAGAGAAGATCTTGTTCTCACAATAGATCTACCCATTTTGGAATACTTCAAAGCAAGTGTAGATATTTAGAGACTTCCAAGTGTTCAAAAAGCAGAATCAAGTGATCATCTTGTTAAGAATAGTCAATAAAGTTACAGCTGGATGTTTTCTCTCTGCTAAGTTAAGACATTAAACCCCATTCAATTTTATCTTGATTAGACAGATTGAAAATCATATGTATACATACAGTTAGTCTAAATAGACAACTTAGCTAAGATCAGCAATTGTCTGAGGGGATTAAGTCAGTGCAAATGGGGGGAAAAAGTGACTCAGAAAAGAAAGAAGAAAAAAAGAATACCATATGTTTGACATTGAAATAGAGCCTTATATTTATTTTTTAACTCAAGATATTTACTAAAGTATAACCTTATTTTTACATAATACTGTGTTGATAGAAAATGATTGTGTACACTTCTGTGATTAATCCTTAAAGAGGAATCAATTGATTATCATTAGGTTTTAATTATGTAACCCATTATTAAAGGGATATTTCTTTTGCTTTAAAACACTGTTACTAGTCAAACAAAATAGGACATTTTAAAAATCACTTAATGGGCAATTTCTGAAAAAGTTTTTTATTGAAAATTTCCTTTTATCCAATTAATGGCACATCTTAATACCAAAGTTGCTCAGTCGTGTCTAACTCTTTGTGATCCCATGGACTATACAGTGTCTTTGCCTGCAATGTGGGACACCTGGGTTCGATCCCTGGGCTGGGAAGATCCCCTGGAGAAGGGAAAGGCTACCCACTCCAGTATTCTGGCCTGGAGAATTCCATGGACTGGAGAATTCCATGGACTGGAGAATTCCATGGGGTTTCAAAGAGCTGGACATGATTTAGCAACTTTCACTTCATTTGATACCAACCTACTTTGTATAAATTGTTTTTGGGTTTTTTTTGCTGTAGATATAATATTAAATGGAAAAGATTGTCAGTAACTTGAGGTTTTTAAGCAGAAAAATACTACCATTTAAATTTGCTCTAGAAGGTGAATTTTATATGGGGACAATATGAAAAGTAGCTTTGGGGGACTTTGTGGAGATTTTAATGGGATCAAGAAGATTTATTCCATATGGCCCACAGGTTTTTTATGCATAACATGTATTATGATTTTTTTCTATTGAAAAGGCATAAAGGCAATTGATTTGTGGTGCTATTTTAAAGTTACTTTGCAATAGTTTTGAAAAAGTTTCTAATCTCAACCTTGGCATATGCATGTTCTACTCCATAATAGAACCAGTAATTTCTAATCCTAATAGAAATTTTCTCTTCTTGCCTTGTTATTCATCCTTTTAAAATTTTAGTTTTACTTCTTATCACTTTTGCTCCATGTATCATATTAGATACATTACCTGAGATGGATATTCCGAGCTGGGTGACTGACCCTTATGCCTAAATTTATGTTTCTTTGGGTTTTATAAATTGAGAAGTTATTTATAATGCAAATGTCTCTTTGGATTGAGTTAGATATTAATCCATAAAGGAAATCCACCTTAGTTGATAATAGTAAGTTTTAACTTCTTGACATCTGAATACAGTGCCCCTAAGAAATTAAGAAAATAGAAGTAAATATTGAAGAGATAAAAGACAGATGGTTGGATAGTTGGGAAAGGTCTATAATTATACATCATGATCTCTGAAGACAGAGTCAGATGAAGAAGTATAGCAATGAACAGAGGGACAGAGAGATCTGACAGGGTGAAAAAGATGTCAAAAGAGAAAATATGAAGGATGCTGGACCCCAGAGACAAACATTTGCCTAGGTTCAACCCTTACACCTTCCGCTGAAATAATACCATTTTCTCAAAAGAATTCATTCTTCCATATTGAATACAACATGAGTAGGATCAACAAAACACAGCAGTTGGATGCGATGGTGTGGTCAGGGAAAACCACCCAGAGGAATTTTAGCGAAGCATGCCTCACACAGAATTGAACATTCCCATTTTTTTCTCTCTCACAGGTTATCTGAACCAGATGAATAACTCAAGTCACTCTGTCCTTCAGCCTTCATTCCAAGGATGCATGCAGCTCATTCAAGTGGATGACCAACTTGTAAATTTATCTGAAGTGGCACAAAGGAGGCCTGGAAGTTTTGCAAATGTCAGCATTGACATGTGTGCCATCATAGATAGGTAAGTGGTCTGTCATCCTACCTTGAATTGCCAAACTTTCAAAATTCATGTTTTTGTTGTAGGACAAGTTAAGCTCTGAAACGCACAACCCTTTATGGAGCAAGGTGGCAGAAATCATTGGCCATGCCTGTGGTATATGTTTGTGATATTAGAAATGATGTTTATATTAGGGCATGGTTATATATGACAATCTATGATGTCATATTAATCCATTCAGCCCTCCTTGGTGAATGTGATCATTTTGCACATAGTTTTGCAAGTAACAGCTGTAAACAGAATTCAGTTTATTTTTAAATAAACTATGCATATAAACTATGCCCACAGCAGAAATGCCCCCTGCTCTTTGTCTTGGTTGGGACTCATCCACGGTGTATGATCCCATCTAAAGCCCCCTCTTAGAGGAAAAGAAATGTTGAAAATTATTGGCAGGCAATATGGGGATTTACTGAAGTAGGCTATTTAATGTAGTTGAGTCTGCTTACAAAGCAGACATAGTGAAATATTACAAACTCTCACTCTTATAAGTTTTTGAAAATCTGAGGGGGGGGAAACTTTTTATAAAAACTTAGCTGACCTCTTACATGGTGGAAAGATACAACTTTTATATGAAATATTATGGCAGCATTACATATACTACTGTAACATACTTCTAAGAAGTTCCTTTTATTCCGACATGAAAATATTTCATTTTGAGATGTATTTCCCACAAACAAACTACATCTAACTATGAGTTGAATTTAACCTGGTGGATTTAGTTGATGGTCTATCCTATTTTCACATCTTTTATGAGAGGATTATTTTATTCTGAAATTTTTTTAAATTAGTTTTATATTTTGAAAATTAAAGTTCCATAAGTCTCAGTCTGTCCCCAATAAAATATAGACCTTAAGTCTCTACTAAACGTATTTCATTTAATATGAGATCCTTGGGGAAGTCATGTAGAGACATATAATGAATCTTAAAAATACATAAAATCACCTATTATGAAATAAGCTTGCTTTCATATAATCTTAATAAAGTAGTATTCATGTGAATGATAAAGTTTACGATGTCCATAGAATGTAACTTTTTAAAGCTTTAATATGTTTCTAATAAGGCATAGCATAGTGCTTTATTTATTGCAATTATACAAATATAGGTACTTGTAGCCTAAACAGTTTATACTTAAACAGAGCAACAAACAATTTTAATAAAAATATACTCCTAATTTTTGAACCATCAATAATAGTTGTTATTTCTGCCTAAAGCAAGTGGTGGTAATAATCACAAAAACTGAGAAATGCATGTTCTAAGAACATATATTCTGATATTCTCTGTGTATTCATAAATTTTAGTAATGGTTTTCCATACAGGAAGATTTTTCCCTCTTAGTAATAGACAGTGTACGAGTCACTTTAGTCCCTTGTTCATTTTCTATGTCAGTAACTTTAATGATACAACAATTTCTGTCAATAATAGCCAAGTTAGTTCATCTAGCTTTTGTAAACTGGCTAGGTTTTATGGTGATGCTGTAATCTCACTCCAAACAGCATGTTTTCTGGGAGTTGCGTAAATTGTTTGCTACCAAGGAAGTGTGGGTGAAGTGTTGAGATTTCACTGTAGTACACCCATGGCAATATTAGAAGTTAAAATGTCTCCAAAAGAATGAATGAGATTTTGGCAAATGAACCAGGCCCTCCTGGTAAGGAGAAGAACACAAGAGACAATGTGGAGTGGGGATGCAAATTTCAGTTTTAGGCAGGTACAGGAATATATGTACAAAGTGTTCTTTTGCCAAACTGGCATCATGCCATTGTCTGTGTTGCTGAGCGCTCTGTAGCTGACAGAACAAGTAATACATCTTTCTTATCCTGCAGGGTGCTAACCCGAAAGAGTGCCCATGCAGAAGTAATCACCTCTGATGCATCCCAAGTTTCCTAAATCCACTATTGAATACCTTCTCTGCTTGTCTTATTTTTTGAGGGCATTGACTGGTTTTTTTTTTTTTTTTTTAGGTATAATTGCCCTGTATCATTATATTATAGCTTCACGTGTACAACATATATAGTGAAATGTTCATTACCAGGGCAGTGATTTCTGTACATTAATTCACAGTGTATGAAATAGCAGATTCCTTTATTCACCTAAAATGTGCACAGTCCTGTCTTAATCTGTGAAGTGTTGTATTTTTGCATGTAGAATGCAGAACTAGATTCACCTTATTCAGACCATTGAGGTGCTCACTGATGAGCTCACCCTCAACCTGTCTTTGCTTATGCGAGCACAGGGCCGTTACCCAGTCTTCACACAGCTGTGGCCCATCCGTGACTCCTTAACGGTACGCCTCTGGCTCACCTCTAGTTTGGTCTCATGCCCTTATTAACTGAAACTTTGCAACTGCCATTCTGCCGTTTTATTTTCAGACTACCTAAATTCTCCTTAAGCAGCCCTATACTGGCTCTTTCTTACTTTTATCCTTTCAGATTTCAGCTTGATTGATTTGAGAGCTATTTTTGAAAAAAAAATTTAAAAAGGGGAAATTGAAAACATAGGATAAAAAATAGAAATCACAAGTGTGATTTTTATTAAATGTTTAGAGATTATAGAAGCAGCTGCATTGATATTATGAGTAGAACTTAGGAAAATAATTTGGGAAGATGATTTTTAAAGAGTTTTGCTGTGGGTGATACTGAAATATTCTATGGTTTGAATGTTTTTTGGGGGAGGGGAGTGGCTTTACATGCACCTTGTTTTGTTTATATGTTTGCTTCCTGATCATGACATTAAGTCAAGGAGAGAGCAAGCATGCCAAGCTACAGAATTATGTGTTTAGTAGGATGTCCTGAGTGCATCTATGGTGCCAGGCACTGTTCTAGGCACTTAGGGTAAATCATTGACCAAAACAAAGATCCTTGCATTTGCGAATCTTGCATTCTGGGAGAAGGGGAGGAAGCAAAGATGTGATAAATAAATATTATAGTAAGTTAGTAGGAATACGTGTTATTTATAAAAAAAAAAAAAGAAAAATGTTGGGCTAATCAAGGAGGGCTGACATTTTAAAGAGATTGCTGTTGGATTGTAGTTTAAATAGGTTGGTTAATGTTAGCTTCATTCATGAGTTCAAAACTGAAAGAAGTATGCATGTATACTCAGTCATTCTGTGGTTTCCAACTCTTTGCAACCTCATAGACTATAGCCTGCCAGGCTCTCTGTCCATGGAATTTTCCAGGTGAGAATATTGGAGTGGGTTGCCATTTTCTATTCCAGGCGGTCTTCCTGACCCAAGGATCAAACCCAGGTCTCTTGTGCCTCCTGTTTATCTGTTTAAAAGCACTGTTTGCCTGTTTGTGGGAGACCCAGCTTCAATCCCTGATTCAGAAGATCCCCTGAAGAAGGAAGTGGCAACCCACTGTAGTACTTTTGCCTGGAAAATCCCATGGACAAAGGAGCCTGGTAGGCTACAGTCAATGGGGTTGCAAAGAGTTGGGCACGACTGAGAGACTTCACTTTCTATCTGTTTATCAGATGGATTGTCTACCACTGCACCACTTGGGAAGCCAAAAAAAGGTGAGAGAATTCACCAATTTGGGGAAAACCATTACAGGCAGAGAGGCTAGTCAATGAAACAAGGCTGCCTGGCATCATCTAGGATCAGCAAAGGGCTTGGGTGGCAGGTTTGGAAGGACGAAGAGCAGACCCCCAGAAGAGGCCAAGACAATCATAGAAGTCAGGTCCTGGAGACCTATAGGTAACTGTAAGGATTTGGCTTCTATTCTGAGAGAAGTAGAGAGGCATTGCAGGTTTCTGAGTGGAGCGGCGGCATAATTTAGCTTAAAGTTTTGAAGACTAACTCTTGTCTGTGGGAAGAGGAAAGGTAGAAGCTGGGAACCAGTTATAGTAATCCAGGTGAGAGACGCTGTGTCCTGAGACCAGGGTGCTAGCACAAGAGGTAGTGTGATGTGGTCAGTTCTGAGTAGGCTGAGAAGGTAGACTCAGTAGGCTTTTTGATGGATTAGACTCCAGCCATGAGAAGAAGAGAAGACAGAACAATAAACCAGATGATTTGGTAACAGCAACTGGAAGGAAGGAGTCACCATGTCCTCTGATGAGAAGGCTGGTGGTAGAGAAGATTAGTCATGGGGCAGAAGGAAAAATCAGGAATTCAGTGCTGGGCATGAGTTGAAAGGTCTGTTGATGTCTAGGTGGACGTTTCAAGAAGGTAGTCGGATACACATATCTCATAAGCACACAACTGCCGATTAAGCAATGAGATGTTGTGTCTGATAAGATCATCACGTTTATCTATTGAAGACCTCTGGTTTCATCAGCTGTATTTCATAAAGAGCTGTAGAACTGGAAAGGGAGAGGATAAGTAGTGGACAAGAAACCTCTTCCAACACCAGAAGCCTGTAGCTTTACCCTTTGAGTGAGACCCTGCTCTTGAGGAAGAGGACTTCATGAAACCATCAGTTGCCAGAGTGTATCTCGCAGATAATCTTGCTTCTCTTTGCATGAGTACCATCTTTCATCTGCTCCTAGTGCCCTCACGTTTTTCCTTCTTTGTGGCAAACATCTCGAGGCACCAGACTCAACTCTTGTCCTCCACCTACTTCCCTCTATCCTCTTTATGGGTGTGAAAATCTGAGCAACAAAAGCCTCCAAAAGCATCCCTATTAAAGTTAGGTTTATGCACTTTCTCCTGCAAGGGAGAACCAAAAGAGAACCAAGGGGCATCTCAGAGTGACGTGGAGGAGCGGAACGAAGTGAGGAAAGGGGTTTGGGAGCCTGAGTAAGTCCTAGGAGGGCCCCGGCAGGTATCGGCCATCATTTTTAAACTAGAAGAGTTGCTCCACCATAAGGTGGAATTTGTGAATCCCTGTAGAGCTTGTATTTGTTTATCTATGATTCTAATTCAGGACACATGGAGTGAAGAAGCTGGTGTGAAAATATTTTGAGCTGAAGTAGGTGGTGTTCATGACTGGTTGGGCAAAATATTTGTTTTGTGAATCGCGGTAAAGCCT